GTTCTTCTCCTTTAATTGAAATCTTTAGTTCCCTCTAGTGTCCAATTTTTAAAATCTTACTTTTTTTCAATTTTAAAACAAAAGCATCTTCGCACAGGAAGGATTCTTTATAATTAATTGCAAAATCTTATTTCAAATTTATCTGGACCCTTAGTCCATTTGTAGCTTTCTACAATCAAAGTTTTAATCAACCTTTTGCTGTTTATTTAAAAAAAAATTCTTAAGCTTATAATTAAAACTTTCTTTCATTAAGGATTGAAGGCAAACTCACCTGGTGCTTTCGAATTTGTGGATCCAAAGGTTTCTAATAGCTGGAAAGTAGTTAACAGGCAATTTCCAAAAGTGATTAGAAAAGGAAGTATGCGAGCAGTGTCCTTTCAAAGGCACCAACCACAGTTTGAGCAAGATGTCTATTCCCTCATCTCCCAGTGCTCTAACCCACTGAAGACTGCTGTCTTGAGGTCTCCTCGTGAGGAGCAACTGTCTGTGGCACTTGTGGATGATATCTTGTCCTCTCCTTTGTCTGTAGAGGTTCAAAGAGCTGGTCTGCTTGCCAGCTCTTCATTCTTCACTCCGGTCATCAGCTCTGCTTTTTGAGGAGCCATCTTCAGTCCACCATTCTTCCTCCAGAAGTACTAGAAATCACGATTTTGCTGTTGAATTTTGGCAGTGTAGTCTTGGAAACTTCTTGGGCCATAAAATTGTACTGGGAACTGTATGTGAGCTATGGATTTCCCACTTAGCATATAAGCAACATAGAAATCAGAAAATAGAATTCTGAAAAGTATACAGATTGATAGTCAAACATTCCTAATTTTTTTAAACAATTCAGATTTGCCCTTTTATCCCCTGTAAACACCTTTAGGATAAATGCTTGCTTGTTAAACAGCTCTGAAAAGGTACTACAGGATGCAATTGCTGAAAAAGTCTGATGTCCTTCTTATGAAAACTTCAGATATGGCCTTGCTTTTTATTCTTGCCTGAAGAAACTTGCACTAGTTAGCAGCATGTACATATATAACATACAGCCCTGCACCTGAAAAGATTGTATTGTTTTGTGCATCAAAAAATATTTATTTTCACAATACAAAATCCACAAAGTGTACATTGCGTTTTCAAAGTACACTTTGATACAGAAGAACAGAAACTTTTTCAAACATGTATGGTATGTATGTTGGAATGGAATTAAAGTATTCTGTCCATTACCAGGATGCATGTTTTTATGTGCTTAAAATAAAATATACCTTATATTAAATGTAGGTAAAAGTGAAAAATAATGTGTATTACCTTATATTTCCCCATCATCTGTCTTCTTCAGTTACCATTCTAGCTCTTTATTTTTCAACCATAGCAAATCCTCCCTCCCCCCTCCCAAACCAGGGGAAGTTTCACAGGAATAAGTAAAACATTATAGCAGTTTATAATACAAGGCGTGTGGAAGTCTACTGGTTTAGCTCTGAAACTCGATCAGGTCTGTTTCTGGCCACTCATCCTCTGGGATGAAGTCTGTTTTACAGACTTTAGCCTCCTATGGGAAAAATATGAGAGAATGTAATTAATAGTCTTTAATTATTTAAATATATGCTTCATATTATGCATCTAGTGAGAGCATCTTTGGTGTAGTAAAAATTAACATAGAAACATGGTGGACTCACATAGTACATTTAACATTGCAACACTTTAACTGTCATACTGTTTTATGTGGTTATAGTAGCTTAGTTGCTAACAAGCACAAGTTCTTACAGTAGATCTGTGAATGCAGCCTCATACAATAAGAAGATGTACCCAGCATCTCTTTAAACACTGCAATTCAGAATACCTGTATTTTTCCAACAGATACCAATGGGTCTGATAACTCCATCCCAATGGCATATCTTACATTAGATCATCAGTTACAGGTAAATGACTGTGTTATTTCATTGTCAAATTTCTTTGGATAGTTTGTATTAAATTGTTTGATTTGGGGAGCTCAGCATGTTTTTAAAAATAATAATAATGATAAAGAACATACTTTTAATTAGTTTGCTTGGCACAGAAGTTAATTATTGACAGTATGATCCCTATGTTCAGTCAGACTTAGTGACCTGATACAATGAATTGCAGTTTTAACTTAGCACCTCCCAAGATCAGATTGTAACATTCCTACGCATTGCCACAATGTATCTCACATACTGAACTCAACACTCAAAAAGTAACATCTGTCAGTTCACTGGCACCTGCATGGTGGTCCATCCCAGGGAAGGCAAAGGAAACCTGTGGGGAGAGCTGTCCATTTAAAACACATTTCTTCAACAATGGCAGGTTCAGACAGCAGCATGTTTGTCTACCACTATTGGTCGCGTCAATCATCTGATATTCTTTGCTTGAGACAGATATTCTTTCATTAACAAATAAATATCTCAGGCTTGCATTTCTGTCACAGATGTCTTCTGGACAAAGTTTAATTCTCATGCTTCCAAAAGCTGGACTAAATCATTATAGACTTATGTTCACGTATTTACATGTTCATGTAATAGCTGATTCAGTTTTTAACCTATATGATTTTATTTTCAGCCTCTAGCACCATGTCCAAACTCAAAAGAATCTATGGCTGTGTTCGAACAGCACTGTAAAATGGCACAAGAATATATGAAAGTTCAAACAGAAATTGCATTGTTGCTGCAAAGAAAGTAAGTTTTAAAATGTGCTCAATCGTGTAGGTAACTCCCTTTGTAAATCTGACGTAGTAAAGTAACTGCAAAGCAGAGCGTTTTCATTTCGTAGTAAGATGCACTGTGTCAGCACTCCTGAACCACTACTCTAAACCACCATAGATAGGTGCTAGTCTATCTCATGTTTGAGACACTGTTTCCAGGGTCATAATGAGCCAAGAAAATACCTTGACTTGAACATACTGATTACATTATTTGAGTCCCTTGATCTTTATTGGTCACCTAGTAAGAGGGTAGTGTCCTTCATCCCTAAGAATATTTCTGAATTTCCAGGATAGACTGCCTTTAACCAGATATTGACAATCTGTACTTGTAGTTGCATCCTCAGTACCTTAACCTGCCCTGATTGTTTATCCCAGCTGGGCTTTCTCCCACCTTTTGATTTCAGGATCACTATTCCAACAGGCCAGGCAACCTAGTACCCTTGTTTCCTAATTAGGAAATTCTTTTTACTATTTTCATAACATACAGTATGCATTTTCCTCAGTTCTGTTCATTCTCTTTCAACCATCAGTCTTAACACAAAAGAAATTATACAGTGGTACCTCTACTTACGAACGCCCCTACTTACGAAATTTTCGAGATACGACCCGCTCCGGCCCCAAAAATTTACCTCTACTTACGAACTCGCCTCAACTTACAAACCGGATCCGCGGCCATTTTCCGCCCGTTCCACGTGGTCCGCAGCCATTTTCCACCCGTTCCACGTGGTCCGCGGCCATTTTCCCGCCCGTTCCACGTGGTCCGCAGCCGTTTTTCCGCCCTGCCGCGTGGTCTGCAGCCATTTTCCGCCCGTTCCACGTGGTCCGCAGCCATTTTCCACCCGTTCCACGTGGTCCGCGGCCATTTTCCCGCCCGTTCCACGTGGTCCGCAGCCGTTTTTCCGCCCTGCCGCGTGGTCTGCAGCCATTTTCCGCCCGTTCCACGTGGTCCGCAGCCATTTTCCACCCGTTCCACGTGGTCCGCGGCCATTTTCCCGCCCGTTCCACGTGGTCCGCAGCCGTTTTTCCGCCCTGCCGCGTGGTCTGCAGCCATTTTCCGCCCGTTCCACGTGGTCCGCAGCCATTTTCCACCCGTTCCACGTGGTCCGCGGCCATTTTCTGCCCATTCCACGTGGTCCACGGCCATTTTTCCGCCCCTGACACGTGGTCCGCGGCCTTTTTTCCGCCCTGCCGCGTGGTCAGCGGCCGTTTTTCCGCCCCTGCCACGTGGTCTGTGGACGCCGGAATGGATTAATGGTAATTACATTGAGCCTTATGGGAAAATTTACTTTGACTTGCGACCAACTCGACTTGCGATCAGAGTCATGGAACGGATTAAGTTCGTAAGTAGAGGTACCACTGTATTAATGTATTGCCTCATGGTAGCAGAAATGCTTTTGAGTCTTAGTGTGATGAAAAAAGAGTTCATTTAAATTGCTTGCCAGTAAATATTTCCCATTGTGTCTTTATAAGTAGATCCCCCCAAGTGGACTCTGTACAAGAAGTTCAAGTATTGCCCAGTAAATAACTGGATTCCCTAGAGTCCTGGAGAAAACTTAGAAAAATAATTCACAGCAGACCTACTAGGAATATTTGGTGATCTATAATAGACACTTAAAGTATCTTTAAGTATATAAAAACTATTTTATATCTTACGTATGGTGCAATATAATTATTGTATGTCATTATGTAAAATGAAAGTTTCCATTCACCTCAAGATGTTGCTCCCAATAATACTTTCATCATGTTATGATTTCCCATATTTCCACATCATACATAATTTCACGGTTATGTCATGTGACAGTTATTGTTTTACCCTTGTCTTTCTTCACAACATTGGCTCATACAGGAAGAGGGAGGGAGGGAGACAGATAGACAGACACACGCACACACAGAGACACTCCCCCCCCCAATTAGACATATGTGGAGCTACGTATTAAAAGAAGATACCGGGAGATTGTAACAAGGATGGGTATCTTCAGGTGCACCAAACAAATCTTGATGGATAACATACCAAGCTGTGCAATTACAAATACTAATAATTGTCAAGGCTTCTATTCTTCAACAGACTTCTGCTGTTAAAATAAATATTTCATTTCTCAGTGTTGTTTGATAGGACTGGTTCCATTTTTACTTTTATTGTCAAATGTTCTGCAGTATGCATAGATTACTGCATAGATAGATTACATGCACAGAGAGAGAGGTATATGTGTGAATATGTTGTGTTGCATAACAGCCTGGTGTACTCCAGTTACGCTTGACTACAGTTCCTACAATCCTTATCATTGGCTATGCTGGCTAAAATTGATGGTGGTTAAAAATTTAGAGGGTGTTCAATTGCCTAAATATGTAGGGAGAAGGTCTAATTTTTGCACCATACTGGGTCTGTAATCCAGCCTATACATAATGCACCTAAGGTTTTTTATAGCACTGTAATAATGAATTTACCTATTTAATTTACCTACCAATGAATTTACCTATGAATATTTGTTAATATTCTGAATTATCTAAGTAACCTTCTTATTTAACATAGGCAAGAATTAATAGCAGAACTGGACCAGGATGAAAAAGACCAGCAAAATACATCACGTCTAGTACAAGAGCATAAAAAGCTTTTAGATGAAAATAAAAGTCTCTCCACCTACTACCAGCAATGCAAAAAACAGTTGGAGGTCATCCGAAATCAACAACAAAAACGTCAAGGGACATCATGATTCATGGGACCCCAGATTGACAGTGAAGCACAGGAACTTCTTTTTTTTTTTTTAATTATCCCATAATATGACAACTTCCTTATTGGTGTGTGCTGAATGTGTAGATATACCTGCTGCTCTTCCAAAATCAATGCAGTATGGTTTTCTTTGGGTGAACATTGAGTTGTTTGAGAAAGATAAGAGCGGCTACATGAATAATCAGCAGCACTAACTATGAAGCAAAATGTAACGAACTCTGGCTGCTTGCATGCCCCTTGTGTGATGGCTATCCTACCAAAACTGATTAAGTGGCTGCTATATTGTAAGATCTTTAGGTGTTCATGCAATAGGAGCAGTATAGAATTTTTCTATTTTTAAAATGTTTTTGTTCTTCTTTCCTTTTGAACTGTTTGCCAAATCAGTCATTTTCCAGGACTCCAGTTTACATCAAGCTCAAGAGATGATGCTGGTTAAACAATGCATTCTTTTAATTGTGTTGTTGTTCATGGAATTGGCCCTCTACATCAAAGGGATTGCTTCTTAGGCATATCTCTTAAATATTCTGATGCAGTGGGAGAGACATCAAGAGATCATCCCATTCAAGCCCTCCTGGTCCTTTTATATGATCCCCTCCTTGATTTATCATCAAGAGCAACGTTCCAGACCTCTACATAGCTATTGACAAGAATAGTAGTTTCACCCTCTTATGCTTTAGAGATAAATCTAAGTGAATTTGCTTGCAAAATACAAGCACTTCTGCTCCATCTTTTGGAAGCAATAATTACAACCTTGTTGAAAATTAACTTGTATTAAAAGCATACATCCTGAATTTAGTAAGTCCTCCCCATTACCTCCTTTTTTTCATTTTGTTTTGTTTTGTTTTATAACAAGGCCCACAAATGATGACTTCAAACATGACTCTGGGCCCCAAGTTTCAAAAGTACTGTGGAAAATTACCATATATACATTGCAAATCAAGGCTATTAACAGGGCTAATTTAAAAAAAATTATCAAATAATTAAAAATATAACTATCAATCTGTGCTTAGAATTGTTTAATAGAAATACATTAAATTTCATTTTCAGTTGCTAGGGGCAATCAATTTTTATAACCAGAGAGGCCACTTTTCCTTGTTTAAATATTTTTTCCAGCCTACAAGGGCTGGAAGGAACATGGCAGTGGTATCACCTGAAGGGACACAGGTGAAATTTTTGACCCAGGATTTTTGGGGGGTGAGGGGGAGGAAGATTTAAGGAAAACTATTAGATCTAGTGGAACCTTAAATATACCTTTGCTTGTTTTTCATCCCCCGAAAATAAGGAAAAAACCATATAACAAAAATTTTGGCAGCATAACCTGGACTGGGCTTGCCCCTGGTAGGAATCATAAACTGAAATGTTTACATTGAAAGGTAGCTATGAGTAGTGGCACTATATTTTTTGTCCTACTTGAAATCTGAAGCCAAATCCTCTGCCTGTTTCCTTGCAAGTAAGTCCTGTATTCAGTGCAGCATTTTCCCAGGAAGTAAGTATATGGTTGCAGCCTCAACATGGCAGTACATTTCTTAAGCATTTGGAACAGCTTATGGTCTTCAATGACTTAAAACTTTACAACAGTGATTGCTATCGTTAAAGAACCCAAGAGCTCTTTAAAATCTTGGGTATCAGTTCAGGTTTGCTTCATATAAAATTGTCCCTTGTGGAAGCTTCTGAAACAGTTTGCTCTGTGTTACCAGTATTCTCAAGGGGTGGAAGAAAACATAAGATGTTTCAAAGCCGCATGGTGACCCATTGGACCCAAATACTATTTTCATATAACATCGGCTTCACAAAACTCGTATGCAGAGAGTTAGAATGGGGCATTCTGCTGTCTACTCAGCAACAAGCACCACTGTTTACTAGGCCATTTTTCCCCCGAGTAAGAGTTTGTGAGTATAGAATTGGAGCCAGAGCTTTGCTACCTGGCCATGTCTGAACTCAGTAGGACTGACATACGAGTAGATAAGTATAGGATTACAGCATATTTTCCCCTCTTGTATGTTTCTGAGAGATTGCTGACAAACATCAGGGTCTGTGTTCTGAAAACAGTCTTTTTGACTTTAAAATAAATTTATTCTTAGCAAGTTAAGAGAGTTAAAACCATAATCATTTTACCTAAATAAAGGAGAGACTTATAATTCCTGAAACCCATAGCTAATTTGATTTGGTAGCTTAGATAGACATTGGTATCAATTTAAGGGTATACATATTTATAGTCATTGGCAGGGAGAACAGAATAGGAATGGCCAAAGTTATCTAAAGCACTGCTGTTTACTGCCTACATCCTTTAGGTTAGCCAAGTGGATGCAGTTGGATGCTCTGCTTTTCCCATGAGAAAACATGTTATAATTAAAGTCTAACCTGTTACATCATAGGCTACAATTACAAGTGAAGATCTGGAATAATCTTGTCTACTGTGGTGTGAATCGGACTATAGTTGCTATATAGAAAAGTGGAAAATTAAGGGTCCACAGTTATCACTTGATCTTAAGAATGAATCTGCACTGTTGGTGAAAAGTTACATTCTAGATTTTCAGTAACTGCTATGTGCTGGTAGAACTGAATTGGGGGTTTAAAAGACATAAAAAATGGAATTAATGAGAAGGACAAACACAGATTGAGTTACAGCCTGAGCCAAGATAGGCTGAATTGCTATTTCTCTTTTTTTTTTTCTTTTCTCTTAATTGGATTGAAAGAGGGATGAGTTTTACTAGATGTTAAGATAAAATTATAGACTGATAATGGTTTTTTTCCTTAAAAAATGACATATTTCAGGATATGACTCAAAGCTTCAGAAAGTCATTCTAAAATGGCCAAAGACAGTTCACCTTGGGGACAATCTGGATAGTTAATTGATTTGGCTGAGAAATGTCCTCCAAAAGTTGTCGTTTTCCTTAGTTATGTTCTAACTTACAATCTGGATCCCAGTGTTATTCCAGTTTCTTGCATCAATTCCAGTTACACTTTTGTGAAGGGAAAAAAACAACTTCATTTGTGAATGATGCAATGGACTAAAGCAACAATAAAAATCCTTAATAATACATTCATTCATTCTGGGTCTGTAGCTCATGTAAGTTTGTTTCCAGGTCATTTAATTCCAAGTCGTTTATAAACAAGTTGAAAAACGCTAGTTATAATTCATGATTCACAAACCACTGTGGCTCTGTTCTCATGACATGGTCAGCCAAAACAACCACATTATGGCCCAGTCTGCTATATGAACCAAGTTAGTATTTTCTAAACCAACCCCTACTGACAATTTCTGCATTGTTAATGCATTCATTGTGCTTCATATGCAAAAATAAAAAGTATCCTCTTTGCTTAGAGAAAAAGACTATTTGGCTTGAAGATTGCCATAGTTAGTCCTTGAAAGCTTCAAGAGGTGTCAGTACCTGGCTGACCTTGTCTGGGTAAGAAGCAAAGCAGACTCAACTCTAGTTAGCATTTGGATGACCAGCAGAGAATTTCATTCTTGTAGGCTGGACTGGGAAGTTAGAAAGCAATTGCAAGCCACCTCTGTATTTCTACCAAGAAAACTGCATGGACAAATCAGTGAAGTCACCAGGAGTTGACCTTGATTCAGAGGAAATGTATTATTTTTAAAATGCACTTCAGGGTATAGTTTATTCATCTGCTTTTTCAATTTGATCCTGGAGGACCCAAAGATCAGAGTTTAGGTTTTCTCCCCATGTCTGGCCCCAGATAGCCCTTAATCTAACTATCAAAAGGCTAATAAAGCACATGCCAATGAGAAGTAAGATTAAGCAACTTTTGAACAAGGGAAGGGCAACCTCAGCCCTCTTTCTGGAGTGAGGGGTTGTCTCAACATGAGACAGGAAACCTACACAATTGAACTGTAACTTAAGATATGGGTAGTATAGTTTCATAAAACAGATTGTATTCTGCTCAAGAAAGGGAAAACATTAAAAGCTGGCCTCATCTATGTATGTCACAGCCCATCACTTTCCATCATTGCCTCTCACAAGGTGAACCTCAGGCCCCTTTTAAATGTTAATTACAACTCGATCAACTAGAAATGTGCCCATCCCTGAGATCTGTATCAGTAGTGCTAGTACATCTCTCCAAAATGCAGATTAGCATTAACGCAGTTGTATGTTAGTAGCTTAAAAAAAGAAAAATCTTTAAGATAGATTTTAATCTTGAAGGTCAATCAACATCACATTGGTGCCCACGGTCCAAAGTTTAAGTGTACCATGCTTGGCATTAACCACTGTAGGACTTGTTTTGTTTTTTACAGGTATAAAGAGACATTGTCATGGCAATGCCTTGTTGTATGCATAATGGATGAACAATTCTTGTTGCATGATAACTTGGCTGGTGCCCAACATCTCCACTTTCTTCTTGACCTATCCTCAAAGAGGCACTCATGGGATTCTTCTTACTACTATGAAAACAATGATGTACAGCTTTGAGAAGATGACAGGTCCATGGATGAGTTTTAATCTTTCTGATTTCAATGCTTCACATTGGCTACATCCAATCAGTCACTACATGGAGGTAATGCAGCAATCTATCTTTTTAGGTGGCTATAGAATCCATTATGACAGCTTGTGACCCACCAGATGTTGCTGAGCTACAACTGTATAGTCTAACCAGTATGCTAATGGTGAGGAATGCTGGGAGTTACAGTTTGAAATATCTAGAGTGCCGTGGATTGGCTAACCTACACAACATGGATTATGAAAGACTAGTGAAAAGAGGCAATTTAGGGTTGTCCCTGGGGTTTGAACTACCAAAAGCAGATGGTAATAGAAGTATTCATACAATTGTTTGTTTTGTTACTAAACTCTTTTTTGCCTAAATGAGAACATATTCCTCCAGAGCCAACATTTTCTCTCAGTAAATGGAAAGAAATTTCCACTTGACTTCAGCTTTCTATGTTCCTGTGTTAATTGTCATATGACAGAAAACATTATCTTTTATCCTGTGTGTTTAGAGGTTGGCAGTAAAATTTTGAATTCTAACACTTATTAGGAACCTTTTCTGTGGACATCCATTGCAGTAATGTTTGGAAGTAAGTGCTGCCCCCCCCAACAAAATTAAAAAGTATGAAAAATCCAAGGGAAGCATGAAGAACTATTTAAAAAGGGAGGGGGAGAATGGGAATATAAATTGCTTTATTATAATTATCATTTAAAATATTATACCTGAGGGAGTGAAATAGAAGGCAATTGTACAATTTTTAAACTTTTAAACAAGGGAAAGTTTCTTTCTTTGATTTTAGTTCCAATTTTAAGACAGTCTTGTTAAGTTAAAGCTATATTTCATAATTGAGTTTTTTAAAAAAAAATGACATTTTTTTTCTTTTCATTTTTCTCTCTCACATGTTTTGTTTTAAGGACCTTTTCTGGTGTTAAGGCCTTGATTTTTAACCTAACATGGATTTACAGATCTGAACCCAAGCAGAACCAATGATTCTTTTGTACCGTAATTTGAGAGCCAATGTTACTTGCCAAGTGTTAATAGCTAGTAGTTATCTGATGAATGGCTGGGATATTTAATGTTCTACAGAGAATATCTAGCAATGGAACTTTTACATATGGTGTAGATCATTTAAGTGTAGAGCTTCAGCACTTTGCATACACAGACCAATATGTCTGTAGATTAAGAGGAAACACACTACAGTATTTTGCACTCGCGCTCTCTCTGGCCAATATAAAGTCCTGCTGCTTATTATCAGCAGTGGTGATAGAAGTCTAGAATTTAACATTGGAACATGTGGAGTAGTTAAAAGACAAACATTTCTCTCTCATAACTGCTAATGTCCAAAAAACTTTAAAGAGACAAATTCCAAATTGACTTACTAATACAAAAAAGTATGAATAGTGAATAATGTGCCACAGTCATAAAAGAAAACTCCAATCCACCTTGGAATGTCATGCATTTCTACCCCCTCGCCCACAGACTCAGAAACCCATTCGGCCTTTGGCATGGCAGGATAATTCTCCAAAATGTGGCCGTGTTCACAATTAGAATGAGAGAAGCCAGAAAAAATTATTTTAGTTCATTGAAAATGTTAACAGGATTAATGCCCAAACTGCAATTGAGTGACAACTTTTGGAGGGTGCTGAATGTGGCATTCAAGCCTTAGATTATGTGCTTCTGCCCTAAATGGATGATAAACTCTATGCACAATAAAGTCATGTGGTTAATTTCCCAACCTTGTCCAATGGGAAGAGAGACACATGTATAGATGAACAAAAACAGAAACAGAAAACAACTGAGTGACTGATGTGTTTGTCTTTTTTAAGACAAAAAGTGTTATGGTGATATACTCCCAAATATCTCATAAAGGCAAGACATCATACAGTTGTGTCTTGCTGTATGAAATATCCCTACATATTTTGCTGCTCTGTAGTTCCAGTCACCACCAGGTGTGCTGGCTAGGCTGTTGGAAGCTATTGCTCAGCAACGCATAGAATGGAAGGGTGTAGGTGAAATGATTGTGTATAAAGATCAGAGAGATTTAGACTTTAAGCTTGGGGGAAAAGAAACCCATTCTTGCGTAATTTTCTGAGCTGGCTGTATTACAATGGAGGGTAACTGGAAGCAACTCAGCAGTGTTTTGTTCTGACCAGATTCTCAGACCACATATGTTTTGAGTTTGGAGCATCTGATACATCTTGTTTCAAATCAAAATTGCCTCTTTTGAGATTGCTTCATGTATTCCAAAATAGCCAGAATGATGCTAGCTACTCAAAATGGCTAAGTTTTGTTATGAAGTCAGAACAAGTTGACATGTTTTCTTCTGTCCTGGAAAGAAACTATTGCGCACCTACCTCTTGTGTCAGATTCAGAACACCCAAAACAGTTGTCTCAAGATCAAAACATCTTGCACACACCTAATGGAGTGCCACTGGCTACTCCTGGTTCATCAACAAATGATGGAAGCAAATAAATCAATGCATGTATGGAATAGTTCTAGATTTCATTTTAGTTGCCAGCTGTTGATCCAAAAGCACATTCCTGATATGTGATTCCTTTTTCCAAGATAGATGACTGGCTGACGCCTTTGCAGATTATCACTAGATTTGCTTGGCTCTCATGAGTTGAGTTTAACTAATACAATCTTCCATTCACACATAAAGGAGAAACTGCTTTCATTGGCTATCCCTGTACCTACTTCCATACCCCCAAAACCCTGATCTGGATGATGGAGGATCCTCTCAAACAATAGGGCAGGAGGATGCACAATGAAGGCTTACTTTACCTTCAGCTGCCATGACCTGATACCCTACTACTGGTCTGCTAGTTCTTCCCAAAAAAGAGGGTGGTTTTCTATTTGCAGAACTACTTTGGATCCAAACTTTGCAGTTTCAGTATATTGACTTGCCAGCACCTCTTTACAGGAAATAATTTGGGGGAGGGGGGGAGTTGAGAGAGATTATTATTATTTAATAATACTAAATTCTGCTACTAAATGAAGAATCTTTCTTTGACATAAGGAACAGGTGGCAAGTCTGACTGCATAGAAAAATGCCATGAATTCCAGGGTGTAGGGCTAGAATAATTTAAATCCCAAAAGTTAAAAACAGAGCGAAATAAATCAAATATTTCCCCAAGTACAGTAAGCCACGTAATAACTTTGACATTGCACTGTAGCATACCGCATTGCAATGAGTTACCTTCCCAATAGAAGTAAAATATCTGGAGCTGACTCAACATTCAAGTAGTCTATAGACAAAATGTCTTTGGCAACTCCCTCTTTCATCCTGCTCACCTGAAGGTGGCATTAAGAGCATCACTAGACCTCTGAGTCTAGACAACATTTAAATTCCCACAGTGAATCTGGCATGACATCTCTCCAGGGCATTTTGAGGTACTGAAATGATAACTAGGCCCAGCCATTCATTGCTGAGGATGCCAGGACAGAACTTTTAAGAGCATGATAGGGATTGAACAGGGAGTATACTAAGCAAACATAAGCCTTTTTGCCATTCCTCTAATATATACTGAGTTTCAAATCAATGTTCGCTATACAAGTGAGTGGAGAGAGATTACAGGAGTTTGCCAAGGGTGTTCAGCA